CCTGCCACCAAAGTCGGGTGGCGGTGGCGGGGCTCGAACCTCGAACCATAGGGTCCAAAGTGCGCCGATGACAGCGACTAAACCACTACGCCACCACCACTCGTTTTGCTTTCTTCATTTCGTTGTTCCATGATGTACAGACAATTGTAGAAAACTTACTAATTCTCTTACTCTTTCATTATATTTGAGGTATTGAAATTATGTGAAAAATAGTTTCAGCTCGCCAGTGGTTTGAGGTTTACCTCAAAAACCAAATAAACTCAATCAGTATCATAGTTGTCTGTTTATTTGCTTGGAGCATATAACCCCGGTGAGATTGATGATTTAGTAATCTGGACGTCAGCCGAGGCTGCCACTATTTTAAATTAGTTTGGAAATTATAACTGGCGAACCTCGAATCTTAAAGCTCTATGCAATCAGCTATCAATTACAGGGAACCACTCTATCTTTGCCTCTTGATGGATGTTGTTGGCGCAGTGGTTTAGTCGCTGTCACAGGCGTGCTTTAGACCCGCCACCGCCACCCGACTTTGGTGGTAGGCAGCTCTGCTGTCGTCCGGTTCAATACCACGCCTAACCTATCGGGGGCCTTATGTGGTTCGCCACTCCAAGTTCCGGGGCTTAGGTTGCCGATTTCAACCAGGTCCTCGTGACTATGGGGTTTACCCCGTCTGCTGTTCATCACACCTAGGTGTGTAATAAAAAGAAGTATGTTTATGCGCCATACACCTATGTTTATGTGCGTAGATAGATCGTCATCGTTTGCCTTAATCTAGGGGAAAAATCGGTGTCTTTATATGCAGCACTCAAGTGAATTAGACCTTCGCGTGTCACGTCACTTGCCCACCTGCCTGCAGCCATCCCACAGCATGTTTCTGGCAGCTAAATTTTCCTTGTGGTTCATATAAAAGTTATTTCTTACATTCGCAATTCAGGGTAATGCATTTTCAAGTCCAGCCTGTAATGTTTATTTATCCGGAGTGGAGATAAAAGTGGTCTCACTTCTATCACCAACCATTATTTTATCTCAAATAATTTTGTGAACACAAAGAGAACAGAAACCCTGTTTGCAACCACATGCATATTTCTCAAGGATATAGGCATTGTAGTAAGTAGTATGTGAATGAGTTGTCTAAATTTCCCCGAGGAAAGCACGCAACTGGTTTCGCAGTTCTTGCCCGTCATCTGGAATGTATATCCAGTAGACCCTTCTAAGTTTGCTCCTATACTTGCACCCAGGAAGTTAATTTGAGACACAAATATCTCATTTGCAACATAGGTTAAATTTTTGTGGACATTCACTGCGGAAGCATCCCATTATCAATTTTGCGATTCGACATTCTTTGGGTTGGTTAGATGCCATTAACCGAAACAATACATTTACATAATATAAATACATGTGTATATTTATTGTTTTGGTCATCATAGTCGTAACGAAATTCAGACAACCGAACTTCACTGATCGCTACCAAACTCGCATTGCTTACAGAGTTAGTCATAATATAAAGGGCGATCAGGGATCGGACCTATTTTAACGGAAGAGAAGAAGGTGAACTTCTAGGATCAACACAGAGTACGTAATTAGTCTGTGAACACATATCGTCTCAAGCTTTATGGCCTAAAGAGAAGAGACATTAAGAGCGCGAATGCTGTTGGCTCGCAATCATATCCCTCAATACCTCCAACCAATCAATTGAGGAGTCTTTCGGGCCCCAATCGAAACACGGGAGACATCTATTCTACCCAATAACTTTGTGAATGTCTTCATGCCTCGTCTCCATACCATTTGTTTACCTTCACGGGGTTTCCTTCAACCCGGAGCGGCTACAGCGAATAAAGCGCGGTGCGACAGACGACAGCTGGGTATAAGCAACGCGTACCCCAGCCAGTGAAAACTCCTAATCCCTAATTCGCTTAACCAGTAACCATCCCTGATAAACTCACAAACACACGACGATTTACCTCCACATTACTAACCCCTTCGCTCCATAACACATAAGCTAAACTGCGTAAACACCGATAATCGAAAACTTCTCGTCGACGGATATCTTCTACTGGCAAAGTCAAGGTCTCACAACCGTAAAGCAGCACTGAACGAACGCTAGCACAATATACACGACCTTTCACCTTCAGTGAAACGTCGCGTCTACGTCAAAGGTGTTACAGTCCTGCGTACTTGCTATAGCCTTGGAAATGCTGGCGGTTTTCTTCCTTTACTGCGTTCATCGCTTCAGATATCAAAGTGAAACAAGCAATTATCTATAACTAATTCCTGGCTATTTAGTTTCGAAGCGGGACTCGGCAACACCCAGTCTTGCAACATCACTATGCACTTCGGCATGTGCAATGCACACGCCGAACGTAGATACAGCACTTGTTAGTCTATCAGATGCGCTTTGCGCGTCCTTTATACATTCAAACAGTTGATCCAGATCATCGTTTTACTCTAACTTGCACAGCTTTTATCCAACTGTCCACTCAATACCTACGTTTTGGAGACCAATTAGTGCGTTTTCCAGAACTTCTTCTACGACGAAAGTGAACAGGAATGGTGAAAGAGGGCAACGTCAACGAACGTTTACTTAGTTTGTTGTAAACCTTCACTTGATCAGATATATGTTATTATTGTAACCTCAGTAAGTTAACTTACTTCTGAGGTATTCCCTTTTGAAGAAGAGAGTTTATCAGACCTTCGCGGTCAACTGAGTCTAAGGCTTCGTTTCTTATTTGGGAACGCTGCGATCGATGGTAGGTGTGACGCGGGTCTACTACCTGACGCAACTTAAAAGTTTGATCAATACATCCACGGCCAGGTCGAAATCCGACTTACTGTTCACGGATGTTGATCTATCTTAAGCAAACCAGATGTCAATGTGAGACGGTGGCCAGGACTTTGGGTACGATTGAGATTTCGGTCAGCAGTGTCCAGTCCACCTACATAATATCGAAGCATAGAACCATCTAACAAGTATTGTCTCAACACAACAAAACCAATGGGCATAGATAGGGACGAGAAACAGACTGGGATGACCGGGCACATTTTGATGTTAGTTGTCCTATTTTGTATTTGCTAATCTTTTATCGGGTGCGGGACTCAAAGAGACGAGCTGAACATTTGATTAACTGTTACGGTAGTGACCGATGGAATTGACTCACTGGTACCCTCAGAAGAAATGAAGTAAAAATTTGTTTCATTGTTTGTTTGTTTTTGTTTTTTTGAAAACTCAAGAAGTAAATCGTCTGCCCTTTCTTATCAGCGGAAAGAAATTTTCGGATAACAGAATCGGGATTTCGCCTCGTCGGGGCGCGTGTAGCGACTCATCGTCTGCGATTGTGATCTCGGTGAGTCATATTTTGATTGAATCGAATAAGGTTCCGTGTTTCCGGGCCAGTAGAATGATTGGGATGACTGAGGCGGGCCTGGAGAGTATCCCTGGAGAAACACATCCTTAGATTGCTAGAAAATCCGTTGAAACATCAAACGGTCGTTTCATAGTGGTTACGCATTTCCTTTTCTGTTTCGATGAGACACTTGTTGCTTATCAATAACTTGGACTGATAAATTCACATTGCGTGGTTTATTCGAAAATTTAGTAATTAAGAAGGAACAAATCTTGCCAATAGAACCCACGAATAGACTTGAAAACAAGCTATTTTTAATTTGTTCAATAGCCTGAAACCTTTATTTTAACTTACGATGATACGTAAGATTGGTTACAGATAATAAGTGACATGTAATGGTTATAGTATGCACTGATCATGAAATACTAACCGCGAAACATGAATCAAGAATTAGAAATAACGGACGCCACGTATACACCTGATCACACGGGTACTAGCACGATAGTATTCCACATGAACGAGACGCAAAGAAAAGATCACAGGAACAGCAGTTCATTTATTGAAAGAAATCAAGGGGATTAAATAATAAGTACGAAACAAGTTCATTGGTCATTCGAGCCTCTGTCAATCGCGTGCCAGTATTTCTGGCGTTGTTCAGCTTCTGTCTGAGCCGCACGGTTTCTGAGTTGTTTTTTTACAATCTATCTATGGTTTGAAGTCTAGATGCTGTGACACGCGCTTTGCTGACGTCACCCGAGAAGCTTGATGCATTACAATTGTCCGGAAACTGTAACTTATCGCTCCGTGATATGCATCATCTCGTAGGCTAGGCTCACCACATGATTATTTCAATCAGGAGGGATACAGACGTCAATATTCAGGGACATTTTGCATTACATTTTTAGCTGAAAGTTTTGTACGGTTACTTAGACCTCCAATCTAGTGTTCAAGTCACTGAGACGAAACGCAAATCGAATAGGTTTTTTTGAACAAAACCGAGAGACGATTGTCTACCAGGTTTCCATAGCACGCTCCGACAAATTTGGCATCTAACGGGTCCAAGCTTCCGTCCAATTCAATCGCCCGACATGTACTGGATTGCAAAGAATGTGACAAACCTAGGGATGACTTTCGTGTCTTGATCTAGCTGAAAGGTAGGCGTCCACGGTTCGCTGAAGCGGCTGCCGTTCGACATTGCAAGCCCAACTTATGTAAACAGATCGAATTTGTGGCTAGCCTCGCGCTGCCCCCGCTGGTAGATGTCACTGTCCTCCACCCTCTCCCCTCCCATCCACCTTGCAGTGATTCCGCTCCCTGCCCATATGCCCAATCCGGTTCATATCAGTGACCTTTGGCCTTCCTATTGATTGATCTCTGTTCCCGGTGTGTGTTTCGCCTGTCCTCAAACCTGTCACTCTTTTAACCAAATGTGACCGGAATGTATGTACACAGCTGATGAGATTACTACAAAATAGTTGAATTCAACACATCCTCTGTGATCATGATGCTTCTTCTTGCTCTGAGGAAAATATACACAATGCCTAAACCAGCTTAAGCATGTTTTCGATCTCATTGCGCAGACCCACACACTGCATTGTGTGTATTGTAACCGTTTGCTCATCCTCAGTTCCATCATTGTGCTGTTTCATACACTCCCAGGTGTATCAACATCACACAAGTTTCGATTCGGCATCCACTCTGGTGCATGAGATGGGTCACCTCCTCGGTTTGCCACACGAGGACAACTCGACTGGGGATTGTTTCTGTGGGACGGACACTGTATGCATGATGTCTCCTGTCACCGGAACGTGAGTGAAAATACGAAAGTATTACGGTAATAGCTGAATGCATTGTGAAACACTTAGAATAACACCCCACCCCACGGAAAGGGATTGCTTTTGTTCTGTTCCCGGTCTGTTCTTTGCAAACCGTGGTAACCTTGGTGCCATATCTGTAAAGACTGAAATATAAATGTTGTTTGCAAACAAAACGACCCTCCTTCGTATGAGGAATACCTTTGAGGATAGGGGTGTACGCTGTTGGTTCAGTTCATTTCCTACAACCATTAACCCTGCACTTTCGTGCGCCGGTTTTGGTTGCTGTTTTTTGGATAAAAAGAGCAGAATGAAGATTACAATGTTGAAAGCAAATTCAAGCAGAAGATAGCGAATTTATATAAACTCATGTTACGAAAATAATGAGTAGATACATGAGCGCCACTGTTTGCGACACCCCGCCATATCGCTCAGTGTCTCTAACCGTCGGTGACCATGATCTCGAGGTCCCCAGCCAGGGAGCCTAACGGGACCTA